CCGCATGGCCAAGCACCGCAGTGCACGGTGCAAAGCATCCAAAGGTGCGCCAAGACCCGCAAGAATGTAGCGGGAGTGGAAAGGACTGGCCTGCATGACGGCCTACGATCTCACGTCCATGTTGGTCAGAAGGGGATGTACAGGCGGTCGTCTCAGTGCGGTGGCATGCGCTCAGTCAAGAGTCACGAGTCACCGCGTGTTGGATTGAATGCTAGGAACGTGAACAGACGCGCGCGGGCGCACCATGTGCGGCAGCAGCAGCTCTGCTTTCGCTGCAACCCTACAGCCAACTTCTTGGCAATATGCAGCCAAGACTGGTCCAGACTCGCGGGACCCTTCTCTGCAGTCGCTAGGTTGTGGGCGTCCAGCGTCCTGCCCTTGCGGACATGTGCTTCTGCTTCACGCTCTGCTTCCAGAGTGATAGAGTGATGAGTCTACTAGCTCTTCAATCCAGAGTCCTGAGTCGAGACGGGCGCGTCGTCGTTCGGCGGGCAGAAGGGTCGAGTCCATCATGGGGTGAGGGAGGCGGTCAAGCTGCTGATCGGACGTCTACGAGCTGTCCAAGCTCAAGAGTCACGTGGTCTCACCAGCAGCTGATTGAGCGAGCCACGTGCGCCGGTTTGGCATGCCTTTCCTGATCCATGAATCAAGAATCACGAATCAAAATGAAGGCTCTGTGCCATAAAAACGAGTCACCAGTCGGATGAGTCGTGAGTGCGAATGGAGAAGTCTGTGCGAATTCGAATTTGCGCGAGAGCCAAGCGTTCTTCCAATCGTCCAAACTCAATCGCAATGCAAGTCGATTAAAGTTCGCTTCAGTGACCTTCCACTGCGCCTCCGACCATCTCGAGAGCGCTTGGACCAAGATTGCAGGGTCGTGTATGGTAGATTGCTGGCGAACAGGCGACGACGCCCCTTGTCCATGCCATCCAGCCTCGAATGGCAGGAAGGGCATCTCTTCTGAGAAGCATGTCCCAAAACTGCATGTGTCGTCAAGAAATCAGGATGGCATGAGTCGCACAACAGGCTCCTCTGCGCTTTTATGCTTGCATGGTATCCCGCAGACGCCTCCTTTTCCGGATCGCAGGCTGCTCACGATGAATCATGGCGAAGCCGACACAGACGAGCAAGCGCAGTCTGATCGACTCAGCCTCAGATATTGGGACCGCAAAGCTTTCGGAGGTTGATCCGAGCAATACAATCAACCGTGGTCACTTCGAGTCCCGACCGCGCTATTCTTGACGACCGACGATCACACGCTCCACGGAGCTGGTCGACGGGCCGGGGGGCGGCGCTTCCGATGGCGAAACCGATGATAAGCCACGTTGAGCTCTTCGGCATGCTGCCGACGCTCGTCATGCGGACAAGCGTTTCAGCAAGACCTCGAGACCCTTACACTCACCCTCAGACAATCACATCCACGTGACGTTCCTCTACCACGGCCTTCCCCCATCTTCTCGATGCTGATCAAAAAGCACGAATCTCACTCACTCAACAGCTCCATCACATGTTCCTACTCGCTGACTGGACTGCGAGTCCCTCTTGCTGCCGATTCGTTGGGATGCGAGGCCAGACACATAGCTACCGCTATAGCGTTACCTTTCACCGCCGCACCTCGTCGCGCAACCGCGCGGCCGTGTGGGGTCCCGCGTTGCTGAGAGCTTAGCTCTGTGCGGTGCCTCACAATCCATCCAATTCACTGAATGATCGGATGGAACCCATCATCCCTTGTGAGGCGCAAATTTGATCTAAGAATGCCGTTCACTCTTTCCACATGTTTTACAGACCTCCTCACGCAGCAGCAACGCACTCACCACTTGAGCTAGCTCCGACGCGCGCCGACGGGCCATCTCTTCTTAGCGTCGGCAATCCTCGGAAATCTGCCGGCTTTCTTGGAGCTTCAAACATGAAGCGTACGCTTGTGACCACTTCGTTTGTGTGAGCTACTGCGTCGCATTAGACTGTTCCCACCTTCTTCGATCATTTCCGCAATGCGGGGCCCCGCACAGAGCTTTGTTCGAAGCAATTCTTGCGACAGACGCGACAGTTGGGACCATGGGGACGACCTATGGCAACACGGCATTGGATGATGCACAATGGGAAAGAGCCCCCTACCGCAACGAGGTGACCGGGGTGTTAATAAAAGGAAGACCAACGAAAGCATTTACATGCTCTCTTCCAGTCTTAGCTGAGAGACCAAAAATCCACGCCAGCTCGTCTTATCTCGATTAGTACGGTATCGCTCAAAGACCAATTTTGAATTTGAAACCATCATGAAGGTTGCCGGTTCCCTCGCCGCTTTGGCGAGCCTGTGTGCCAGCGCGCTCGCACTCCCTCCCAACACTCTACACGCACGTCAAGGCACCGCGGCCCCTTTCGCTTCCTCGCAGACTTTCACCAGTCCTCATGGCACGCTCAGCATCGCTGTCGACAAGGGCACGGGTGTGCTCACCAGCTTGAAGTACGGACAGCAGAATGCGGCTTTTGAGTACCTTCCCACCGACCCTAAAAGGACTGCCAATGGCTACAATGTATGTGATCAGATTAGTGACTGATGCTGTCGGTGACTACGCACACTCATATCTGATCGTGGCATTGTTGACTTCAGCACGTAGGTGACATTCAATTGCGAGTTCGCCCTTCCGGCGGATCGGCTCAGTGGTCCGATTTTTCTACCGCCGACGTCCGTCGCTCTGCAGTTGCTTCCAGCTCGTCCCAGGCCTGCGCAGCATCTTCCTTCGTCTGCAACGACGTCACTCCTGCCTTTGCCTTTCCTTCATCAACACCGCTCTCTGTCTCTCGCAGCTGGGTCTGGGCAGGAGCCGAGGCCAACAATGAGGCTTTGCAGGTTGTTTACCGTATCGTCAACAATGGCGACCAGCCTCTCGAACTCGGGGGACTGGCCTTCCCGCTTGCGTTCTCCAACAATTGGGAAGGGGCTAGTCAAGACGTCACTTGGGACACCAAGGTCATGTCCGACCCTGCTATCAATCTTGATCATGGCTACGTCCTGACGAATCGCCTTACAGGCACCGGCGCGGCAGTAGTGGTCTCATCTGGCTCCGATATCAAAGCAAAGGGTCAGTCGCAGGCCGTGTGCTCTCATCCAATGTTGCCGCTCGCTGACCAGATTATGCTCCCATGCAGCTCCTTTGGAGTCGTATCGTATCCTGCCCGCAACCGGCCCTCTTCGCGAAGTGACCCCGCCCTCTTTTGGCTTCGAGGGCATTTACAGCTGGGCCGTACACACTCTGGGTTTCCAGGCCTTGGACCAGCAAGCTGCGCGCAGCCTTGGTGTCCAGCGCGGGGCAGACTGGAACGACCCAACTTCTTCGACTCTGCAGCCGAAAGAAAGCCGCGACTTTTCCCTGCAATTCTTTGGCACGCCTGACGGAGCACGTGGAGTGGAAGCGGCGCTCAGAAGACGCAAAGTCGCCACTCTTGTGGGCGTTCCTGGCTACGTCATTCCTCGCGCTTCGGAAGGCAAGCTCGTCGTTGACTCTGACTCTGCGGTGACAGTAGACAAGATCGAGCCAGCAGGTGCACTGACTTTGCAGCAAAGCGGAGCTAAGCAAGGCACCAAGACCGTCTTTCGCGTGACACCCGGTGGTTCTACATTCGGCCGGGTCCGCGTGACGCTACGCTTCGGAGATGGAACTTCAGCAACGGCTCACTACTTTGTACCAGCCTCGGTCCAGGATACTCTGTCCGCTCATGGCAGACACTCCTTTAATCAGCAATGGCTCGATACCCAGCAAGACTTCTTCGACAGGACGCCAAGCGTGATCACCTGGGACAAAGCCGCAAACGGCGGCCAGGGAGGTCAAGTACTCGACGATCAACGCGCATGGGTTGCTGGTCTCTCGGACGAAGGTGGTGCGGGTGCATACGTCAGCGCAAGCAGCAAAGAGCTCTTGCAACCCGACGCTTCTGAGGTCGCCAAGTTGCAGAGGTTCGCCGAAGATACACTTTGGGGTCATTTGCAGCACGACGAAACCGAGCCGGACTTGACCGGTGCTACCCGCAAAAGCCTATTCTACTACGACCAAACACTCGAAGATCGTGGTGTGTACCAGCCGGGAGTGCTGCACAGTGGTACTTGGGACGTCAAAGAGGCCACACGCCTCGATAGGACGTACAATTACCCTCATCCCGCCGTCGTGTGGGTGACCCTATACCGTCTGGGGCGGAATTACGCAGGCTTGCTGGCTGCGCAGCCCGGGTCCACTTGGCAGACTTATTTGACTCGAGCTGCCCTGACCCTTCGCGCCATGATGAAGCATGCTGGGCTCAACGCGTACGCTCAATTCGGAATGATGGAGGGCACCTTTTTCGTCGAATTGCTCAACGACCTGAAGCGCGAAGGTCAGACTAATGCCACTTATGCAGATCTGCACAAAGAGCTCGAGGGCCTCATGAAGCAGCGTGCGGACCTTTGGAATGGCGAAAAATATCCGTACGCCAGCGAGTCAGTACTTGAGGTGGAACAACGCTGCCGTTGAGAATGTCCCAATACTGATCCCCAGAGCTCTTCATCTTTCACAGATTCCCATGGGACTTTACTGGGCAGGAAGAAGTCCATGCTTGGCTGGACTACTTCAACTACACCGCCAAGGCTGATCAAACCGTCGAGACGGTTGTTGCCGGCATGTCAGCTCCCCCTCATTGGGCCTACAGTGGCATCGGACGGTGAGTGATGCGAGTGGCGAGAAGCTCAAGCGCTGCATACTGAAGCCATTGCTATACCCTCACAGTTCATACTGGGACTCCTTGTATGGCGGTCGTCAGCCCCAGCGCATCGAGCGTCTGCAGCACCATTACAAGGGCTCGCTCAATGCGCTGCCGCTCCTGAGCTATTTCCGCAAGAATCCTACGGAAGCTAATCTTTGGCTTCTGCGGTCTGCGTTTGGTGCGAGCACCGGAACGTTGTCGACCGTCGACCAGAGCGGGTGAGAGATTCTTGGGATCGCTGGGTCAGCCTGTCGGCGGTGTGGCTGAACCGTTCTTTGTCCTTGGTGCACCGCTAGCTTTGCGAGTATGGGAATGCACTCAAACCCGGATGCTCTGCAATTCGACACCTTGACTGGTGATGGAGGCATGTCCATGGCCGGCTACGCTCTCTCTTCAGCATGCTACGTTGTCAATTCTCAGTCTCTCAGCGGCTGGTCTGCGTTCACCGGTACGCTCTCCCAGCAAGGGTCGCAGATCACTGTGAAGCCTACCGATGCAGCTCGTCAACGACTGTTCATCGCCGCTACGGGGCTCTACGTTCAACTAGACTCTGGAAGGATCAACTCGGTGACTTTTGCTGCAAGCAATCCCAGAGACGTTCAAGTTACACTCGACCAAGCCGACCAACACACTCCTAATGCCGGCATCCGCTTCGCACAGACCGTCAAGCCCCAAGGCGCCCCGAGTGACTACATTATGCAGGCTGGCTTCAAGCAAGAACGGGATGCGTACGTCGTACCTCTCAAACAAGGCTCCACGACGACCATCAAAATCAGTGCTACCTAGAGACTTGCCTCCAAGCAGCTTCTTGGCACGCGCAATCTGTCCTCCTCTGCACTGTGTTACCGTGGCTCAACATTGCTCCTCCTTCCGCAATGGGCGCTGTGTTATTGCATCTTTTGACATTGCGTCTCTGACCTTCTGATGCTCTATCTCACGGCTGCCCGAGACTCAAGTCCGCGTTCTGTTGGTCTATTTCTCTCCTTCTCTTCCATGTACCTTCCCGTCCCTTCAGGCATAGACTTGAAGATGAATATCCCTCAAGTCGCTCTCCGCATTCATCTAAGCCTCCTTCTAGGTGAGACCTCTCCTCGTGGAGGCATACGCGAATCAATTAAAGAGCAGGAACACCCCACGTCGAAAAATTATTATTATTTACAATTCAAGACTGTGTGACTATGAATCAAGAATCAAACTCATCACTCGAACGCGTACCCTATTTGTGTAGTAGTTGCACGTGACTCGCGCATTGGGTCCAAGGTCCGCTCCGATGCGGAGTTGTAGACAGCCACGAAAGACTTCACGAACCTCGACGCTGAACCGATCTTCCACTCAGCACCTCTGGACTTTCTGAGCCTCGCGCTACGTATTTTGACCTCCTCGCCGGGCGAAGTGATTCTGCACTCCTAAGCTCTTCACGGTTGTAATCAGCTATACCGATTGCGAGCAGAGCGTTCGCGCTCAGGCCCTCCTTCAAGAGAAATGGCAGCGCTACGCCTTACGGGCGGACAACTCATGCGGATATCGAGCCCTCTGTGCACGTCTACCCGGTCATTCGCTTCTGCGGGGCGCCGCAGCAAGGAGCGTCAGCAATACGTTTGCCCCGCCACACTTTCACCGCTCCATACAGCGCTTTCAATTGCTCAGCGACACCTGAGCACTGGTCCGCCTTCCTTCCCATGCGTGGATGCCAACGAAGCGCGCACGGCCTGGCTGCTATCTCAGGGACCCTCGTTGACCGAAAATGAGAGTAAAGCTGCGCGCCTCTCTTCTGGTGATGATGGAGGACCCGAGCCGGCATACTCGCCCCCAAAGGGCTATCTGACCTTTAGCAGCGAAAAATCTCTGAAGCTCGACTATGGCGGTGAATTGCCGCGCTTCGACATAGCCTACGAGACATGGGGAAAGCTGAATGAGAAGAAAGACAACGTCGTTCTGCTGCACACGGGTCTATCCGCATCCAGCCATGCAGCATCCACCAGCAGCAATTCGGCCAAGGGATGGTGGGAAGCATTCATTGGGCCTGGCAAATCCATCGATACAGATCGATTCTTTGTCATCTGCACCAACGTTCTGGGAGGATGCTATGGCTCCACAGGTCCATCCAGTCCGCACCCGATCGATGGGAAGCCCTACGCCACACGATTTCCGATCTTGACCATCTTCGATATGCTCAGAGCTCAGTTCAGGCTGCTTGACCATCTGGGCGTTCAGAAATTGTTCGCTAGTGTGGGCAGCAGCATGGGCGGAATGCAGAGCGTCGCTGCAGCTCACATGTATCCAGAGAGGGTGGCAAGAGTGGTCAGCATCAGCGGTTGCGCGAGGAGCGCTCCCGCCAGCATCGCACTGAGGTACGCTCAGAGAAGTGGTGAGTCCGGGCATTTTGATCTGGATCTTGATCGAAACGTGATGTGCCCAGTCTGCAGCCCATCCCATTGCACACAATGCCTCGCTGACTGCTTGATGTTTCACGACGTCCACAGTCCTGATGGCTGATCCAAATTGGAATCGAGGCTTCTACTACGACAAGGGCTCGCTTCCCCCCCACACTGGTATGAAGCTGGCTAGGCAGATCGCCACCATCACGTACCGATCAGGGCCAGAATGGGAGCAAAGATTCGGCCGTCACCGTCGTGTAGCGGCTTCCTCGCCCGAGTCTACTTCCTCCGCGTCTGCTCGCAATGCGGCAAGCTTCTCAACAGGGTCTAGACGAAAGGAACAAGATCCTGCTCTGTGTCCGGACTTTCTCATCGAGACTTATCTCGATCACCAGGGAGAGAGCTTCTGTCTCAAATACGATGCCAATTCATTGATCTACATTAGCAAAGCGATGGATCTGTTCGACATGTCAGACTATGCGCTGGAAGAGCTAGCTAGAAGGCGTAAAGCTAATGTCGCAGCTGCAAGAGAGTCGCTAGACATTGGTGACGAGACTGAGCGAGCTTCGTTGGACAAATTCGATCAAGAGACGAGCACGATTGGTGAAGCTTCTCAAGCAGATGAGACGATCGTCGAACCTGCTACACAGCCCAGCTCTCCTCGTCGACAGCATATCCACACACTTGCTTCGCCCTCGGCTCACGCCTACCTTCCGGCACTAGCGAGAGGTCTGAAGAGGCTTAGCGATGTACCTGTTCTCATCCTCGGCGCTCAGAGCGACATTCTGTTCCCAGTAGATCAGCAGCGGGAATTGGCGGAATGCTTGCGCATCAATGGGAATGACAGGGTCAGATACTACGAGATCGACGCCCCACACGGCCACGATAGCTTCCTGTGAGTACTCAACAGCCATTGGGCTGGTTTACTCAAGCTCTGTGAATAGCATGTTGACCGCTGCCACGCGCTCCTATTCCGCAGCATCGACGTGGCCAATGTTGGAGGAGTTCTGGACGGCTTCTTGCGATCATCATAGCTTGAGCCGCGGAGAGCGCATCAACGCAGTTACCGCGACGTCATCACAAATTTGATTTGGAATCGAAACGCAATAGTCACCGGGTCGAAATTTTGACATTTTTCTTGCTGAGACAGACTGTGTGCACGTATTCTGGGGCAACAACAAGAGTGCGATGCGCACCTGCCGTCGACGCTCAACAAACTAGAGCTCGATAGCTGATTCGAAGGAATTCCCATCGTGAGCCCTTCGTGCCTTGCCGTCCTTCTGATCTCCTCCATCTGCCTCTGCAGCTTTGCGCTTGCTGCTCGCCTCTCTATGCAGATCCTCATCTGCACGTCGCTTGCGATCGCCCGATGCCTTTCTCTCGGGACCCAATGGCGCATCGACAATGGCGACGTCGTCATTCTCATCCTCTGTATCCGGCTTGGGCTCTGGAATGATGGGCCTGTCGATGAGATCTGGCAACTTATTCAAGGGCGGCAAGGCCCAAGGAGCTGGATCTGCCCCTTCAATGACGCTGCTCAAATCAAGAGTCTCGATGAGGAGGTTGACGTTTGCTTTCTCCCCTTCCTCGTCCACTAGGCTGATGATGCTCCCGACTGCGATGCTGAGCTCTGCCAACGACTTCGAATGATTGTCTTCGAAATCAGAATCGGCGAGAAGGCGGTTGCCCTCGTAGACTTCAAGGTCGCCTTGGATGCCCAAGCCACCGCCTTGTATTCTTGAGCCCTTTGCGACCTCCTCGATCACTTGGCCAAGCGTGACTCGGCTCGGATCAGCTGCGAAAGGCACGTATACGTTTTGGCATACTCCGCAGGCAGGGTTGGGCTTGGTCGTCTTGCTCCCAACGATGAATTGAGGCAAGCTAGTCTTCTTGACCAGTCTGGCTTGGTCCCATCTTCCAGCTAAAGCATGAAGGGCTTGAAGCACCAGAGCACCGGCAATGATTGCGTTCGTAGAGGCGATGGCTGGAATGATGTTGCCCGCCATTTGCTTTACCTGGAACCGCGTGCGTGGCTCGATGCCATAGACTCTTGCGCGCAAATTTGCTGAGGATGTCACAAAGTCTAGGGACGGGTCGTCGTCTTTGTCGAAGGAGAGGGGTTCTGAGGGATCACGAGCGTAGCGCTGCGCAAGAGCTCCAAGGCTGCGCGAAAATTCACGCGGTAAGTCAGCCGAGCACATGTTCTCTTAGAGCAGTATCCTTGACCTCACCTCTGCTCAAACAGCTCAACAGTCTCCCTCAGGCTCAGCAACCTCTGATCTTTCAAGCCACTCTGCTCCCTTTCAGCTTCTGTGGCGGCCGTTCTAGCACTCTCAAAATCAATGGGCACCGGCCTCCTGCGATTCTTCCACATCTCCTCCATGCTCAGTAGACGCTCGACGTCCGCTTTGAATACCTTGTTGAACACTCTGAGCGCGTTCTCGCGCACCTTCTCGGGGCTGGCTAAGAGAGAGGAGCGGATGTCTCTCATTTCGCGGGCTTCGGCCCTCAAATTATCGATCTCTTTAGCTGTCAGCGGACAACGGAGGCAGAGTAAGAGCCACGTAGATTGCGCGAGAAATGCATCAATAAGAAACACTCACCATTCTCCCCCTCTGCAAGCGCCTTATCAAGCTCGACGTCCTCAGTCTCGTCATCTTCTCCAAATAGTTGACTGTGTAAGGGTGCAACACGCGGTGAGCATATCCGCATGTGTGCGTGCTGAACGAATCGAAGGCGTCGGCTCACTTGAAAAGCCAGCTCTTGCTCCAGACAATGCAGTGAATAGGTGTGCTAGGCGTCGAACGGATTGTGCAGACTGGGTAGGATTTCGGCGTTTCTTTCGGAACGCAATCGTAGCACTCGGTGATGCCCTAACAACAAAAGAGACAGCCAATCGGAGCAGACTTGCTAAGTGGAGGTCAAGACGAGCGCGCCACCTCGCTCCCAGAGACACGCACCTTCATGATGGGCTGCACCTGTCCCAAGAAACCAGCAGTGCCGCTCTCCACCAGTGGTGTGCCCGCAGCAATGCACATTTTATTGACATGCCTCCTCGCTTCCAAGTTGTCCAATGCATTGAGCACCACATCGAAGCCTGCATAGTACGCTGCCCCGAATTTCGCGCCATCTTTGCCGCCGTTGGGTCCTCCTCGCAGAATGTCGGCATGGTGAGGTTGAATGCGAGCGCTGGGACAAAATGTCTGGGCTACGCTACTGGCGATCAAAGCTTTGGACTTCTTGATGTGCGACTTGTTGAACAGAAATTGCCGATTAAGGTTTGAGAGATCTATGGTGTCCAAATCGATCTGCAGATCAGAGGCAGCGTGAGCCTGAGTAGCGACCAACGTCTCAAGCGGAGCTGTACAGCACTGACCACTTCGATATCTTTGAAGCCGACCAAGACGAGATTCTTGAGCAGTTCGCAGCCGATTCCACCCGCGCCAACAACTAGCAGCTTTGCGCTCGCTACCCTTGCGAAGTCTTGAGGTCCAAGCAGTGCTCTGGCGTGAGCATGACGGGGAGCCGAAGACGAAGCTTGAGCCGACATGGTAATCTACACCCCCGCGAGCAGTATTTGCCAGTCTCCCAATGTGGACGTAGATCTTCGAATCTTCGCAGGTCGGGGCCGGGCCTCAGGACGTGCCAGATGCCAAGATCGGTGAGGTTGCTTGATGCGACTGTCCCTGTGCAGATGTGAGGAGCTACATACGACCCTGCGGCCTTGTGCGAGCCAGAAATCTCAAAGACTAACCAGCTACTTGATGATTAGCGATCGTGAATGGGGAGTTGTGGACGAGTGAATGTGGAAAGTCGGGAGGCGTGTGAGTGTGCAGCGACAGCACGGTTCCATCGACGGCTTTGAGTTCAAGATTGGGGTGACTATTGTTCTTGATTATTCATGATTACTATCAACATCAATTCCACATCTCCGCTGCGTCACGCGACAAATACCTACAGTCACGAGTACCGGTATGCTGCATGCTGCACAGCGAGGGCCAAGTGGGACGCGCATCAGCAGGCGATTCTCTTGCGGCCGTAATGCGCCGCCTGGCTCCATGCTGAGTGCGTCTCGTGGGAGGGCGCCCACATTGAAGCTCAGCCCTCACGCCATACTCCACAGCCCTCAAGGCCCACCGCGTTCCAGAAGCTCATGGATGCCACGAGATGTATATGCTGCACCGTTCATATTCGCCCTCAATCGACCACGGCAATCTTTTACCGGAACCTCAACTGATTGTATAATACCTCTCGCCTGCCGCTCTTACGCTCCGTGCTCAAGACAGCCGCACAAACTTCGCACAAGTTGAGCTCGCAGGACACCACCCAAGGCGGCAAGCTACACTCGCGCGCTTTCATCGTCTTGCATAAGCAGCGACTAGCCGACGCTCACACCATCACACGACTGCACGACTACACGATTATACCCAAGGCTAGCACGCAGCAAAGAAGACAGCACCGTCTGAAAATTTGCCACTAGCTCCTTCCAGACCTGTGGACTCAGACCACCATGTCTGGCTTTTTTAGCACGTTTGTGAGGGGCTTTTTGGCGGGAGGCTCGAGTGGAGGTGGATCTACAGAATCGCGCTCGAGGTCGCCTTCGCCGTTGGGTCTCGGTGCTGAGGCGCGACGCACCGACGCTTCCAGCTCTTCAGAAATCGATAGGAATCACTTTCCTCCGTCCGGGCACCACGAGTCAGCTACAGCAAGCGTCACCGCGTCGGGTACCACCGTGGGGTCTGGCGCTGCGACTGCTACCGAGGCTGATGCCTTGCCCGCTACCTCTCCGGGCAGCGCACAGTCATCACAGGAGCAAGGAGATGCGAGCTCCGATCCAGCAGAGGCTTCTGTATCAAATGGGAGTGGCGAGAGGAGGCGACAGATCAGTCTAGAAACACTAAATGGATATTTGGAAGCGCTTCACCAGGCGGGTGAGTCCGTCAATGCGTAGCGCAAGCCGCTTATTGGGTGCATTGAGACGCTGACGCCACTGGCTGGGCTTCCCACAGACGTGGGAAGGCGGCGGCATGCTTTGACGGAAGAAGAAGAAGCACGTACCGTCGTCGCGGCTTTCCCTACTCAACTGCCCATCCCAGAAGGATCAGAGCTGGGCGAGCTGGACGCATTGCCGCACGTAGGACTCTCGTGGTCAGATTACCGCCTATATCGCATTCCTCTGCGAGACTCGCAAGGCCGAATGGGTCTGGTTGCACTTCCAAAAGGTCCAATCTTGGATGTCTTTGGTCAAGGTCGACCTGACTTGCCACCGGGTACGGACGAGGAACGCTACACGCCAGAGACACCGGCTTTCATACCACTCGGCATCTCATCTGCGCCCTTTTCCATGATCTTTGATCACAGGACATCCTACATCTGGCCGATTCGACCCATGCCAGATCACGTGCCACGAGATGCGGTGCCCCAATTCTATTGTGACCCCGCTATACCCATTCAGGTGAGATAGACCAGTCACTGCAAGTCGCGAAGTGGGCGAGTGGCTGACACGACTTACCCCCCACGATCCACAGATGAACGTAGGCTTCGGTGGACAATCGCAGGCAGAAGCAGAACCGCAACCTGATCCAAAGGCGACAGAGTCCTTCGTCGCGTCGTTAGAAAGAGCAGATGCGGAGCTCAGATCGCGAATGGCGCGTCTGGAATTGGGAGACATCGGCACGGGAAATGTGGGATGCGCAATCTGCTTAGAAGAGTACGACGCAGAAGACAGGCCTGAGTGGATTGCTGGCTCGGCAGCGCGCGATCACGAGTGCGTCGTGGTTCCTTGCGGAGGCTTCCACACCCTACATGCCAGCTGTCTGCAAGAGTGGTTCTCGGCTAAACCTCCTAACGAGTGGGCCTGCCCATTTTGTCGAGAATCACTGGCGCCCAAAAAGTTTGTTAAGGGTAGGGTGGTCGAATTGCCCAGGGCAAAGCTTGGGGTGGGGCTTAGGGAGGATGTGAGGAGAAGGGAACGGCAGCAAGGTTGGAGGTGCGATAGCCCTGCTTGTCTGCCAGAGTATCCTGAAGACCAGAATGGCGCTGAGAAAGACAAGGAGCGAGAGCAGCTGCTGAGACTGAAGCCTTGTGGACACGAACATCATTTGGACTGCCTCACCATGGCCATGCGTCTCGACAATCCCTTTGCAACGTGCGAGGACGAGGAAGATGACGGAGATGCCTGCGCTTGGGACGGCACTTCGGACCCTTCAAGATCCGCCTCCAATGCTTCCGAAAACTCCTCGAGTCCAGCCGCTACCGAGAGTCTCAAAGACCAGGAGGCATTCAAGATGGCGGAAAAAGCTCCGACAGCATCTACCAAGCATGTCGACGAGGCACCAGCGCTGAGCGTGCCAACCAGCGAGGGTAAATGGGTCACTTGCCCGACGTGCAGACATGAGGCCTGGGCACCTCTGCCACGCAGGAGGAGGAAGCGCGCTGCTTCGTCGCAAGAGCAGGGCGAAGCGACGCAGTTGCCGCGTCGGTAAAGGGGAAGAAAAGCGACCGAACACACAAGGCTGTTGGGCGCTCATATCCACGGCACCCAACCGCATCTCCCTCACGGCCCAGCTGGAAGCTCATCAAGTATGCCATAAAAATGCTGTACATTTCTTTCTGTGACGCCACATCTAACAAGTACCGGAGCGACATTGTACCATATCACCATCAATGAAATTTTGAATTCACGCGACGATAGTCAGAGTCATGAAGCTTGCCATTGGAGCTCAGAGCAGCTCGATGCATGCTAACAAGGCGCAGCTGGGCGGGAAGTGAGATCAAGCATATACAGCCAAAACGGTACCTGAAGGGTGTTGAGCCACGCGCTTCATCAAGCTATGCCATTGAGCTGCCGAGACCCAGCTTGGCGCTGCCAACGTCCGAGCAAGGCGCTTCGGCCGAGATCACACCCTTTCATCGCGGTTTGCTTTGTGCTAGTCGTGTCTTTGGAGGTCAGAATGCCATGTATGAGCTAAAGCACAGCGCTTCCGCTACCGATCGACATCTTGACCCCGCGCTTTGCTGTGCAACACACGAATGCCACCACCGCGATAGAAGTATAGCGCATCAGCATCAGCATCGACGCGATGAGCGCTGCACGCATGCATGCCAAGACCTTCATGAGTGGGCGCCAAATTGCGGCGTTCAAATCTAAAGCGGCATTTGAGCCGAACTCACGATAGCGGCCCGCGGTTCGGCTTTCACCATCAATCACGCTGCCGATCCCACACCTAATTGACTCGTCCACCGCGCACAGCTTT